TTTTTTCCCCCCCCCCCCCCCCGCCATTGTAAAAGTGGGGATGCGAGGAAAATAATTTAATTTTTATTAGGCCATTGGTTTTCAGGGGTACACCCCAAACCCCCCCCCCCCCCCCCCCCCCCCGCGTGTTCGTTGTTCGGATCTCGGCAGGATATACCCGATGGCGAAGATACGGATTGCCTGATGTGCGCAACGTTTGCAACGTTCGGATTATCTCGAGGGTCGTGCTCGATATCGTAAGGGGCGCCGCGGTGTTGATCACCAAGGGGGGGGGGTGCCGTCGCCTACCGGATCGCTTGACCGGCGCACGGTTGCGGCTGCTGATGTCCAGCCAGGCGTGCGCCAAGCGCGAAAAGGGCGGGCGGGATGTGTATGTATCGCGAAAGGCGCGCCTAAGAACAGGGGCTCGGCGCTTATCGCCCCCTCCTTTGTAAGGCCGGTTTGCCCCCCAAGCTCTCCTCGCCTCTTGTCCCTTCCCGGCCCGATTCGGGTTTTTCATCTTGGTCCGGGCATGAGGGCGCGCATGCGGTGTTTTTTGTTTATCTGGCTTTGTGCAAACGCTTCTTCTGTGGCGTGTGCCATTTTTCCAACCCCATCTGGTTGGAGGTGGCAATTTGGTGGGACCCCCAGAGAGGTAAATATACATAAAGACAGCAAAGAATGTAATGGGAAAGAGAGGCGTGGGCTTCGCTTCGCTGCGGCATGTATGTCCAGTTGCCCTTGCGTCTGGTTTTCTTTCCTTCAGGCACACCTCCCTAGTCCTGCTCGACGGCGGTGGATGGGCATGCTTAGCCCATGCTTGTATTTTGAAGAATTGTTGTACTAGGAGGGTGGGGGTGCGTGTTTAGTATCTGGGGGGTTCGGGGGTCACCGTGTTTCATTTTGGTGGGGTACGAGGGGAGGGGGGCACGAAATCCACACTTATACGTGAAATTAAGTAGAGCCATCGATCGACAACACGAGAGATGGTTGGTCGGCTTTAGTGACATTGGCAAGCCTTTAGAGGCACGTTGCGGTAGCTCGCTGTCTGGATGACGCCTATCCTAGCCCTCCTAAGCGTAGGAGGTGCAGGCAGGAGATATTTCCGAAGGAGGAGCCCGGTATTTTGTTGTCTACGCTGGTTGCTGACTGGAACTCGCAGGGAACCACGGCTACAGCGTACCGACTGCTTGTAAATTTGTGCTTTCGTGGAAGTTTTTTGTTTTTGTTGAGTAGTGGAGCGCGACATGTTTGTGATCGTTTGGTAAGAGTGCTATGGGACGGACCGCCTTGTGCCCTGAGGGGGAAAAGATGGCGTTGCTCTTAATCCGCTGGTCCGGTATGTTTTCCGTGTGCGTGTTCCCACTATTTTTTTGTCTATTTTCTTTCTTTTCTTTCTCGTTGTTTCTTAGTATTTGTACTGCGTGGTTTGGTTGTGGAAACACGACGAGGTGTACCGGTTGCTGTTTCAATAGTGGTCCCTCCTACCGCGGTGTGGCGGTTTCCTTTTGCGCACGAGCATGAAGGGTCCCAGTGAGTCCTGTTGCGTATAGGGCTCTGGTGGTATCTTGTGTAGGGGGGCGGTGAGACTTGGCTTTTGTGTGTGGAGGAAGGTGAGCCTTCGCCTTTGGGTTTGTCGGTGCCGCCGCCTCATTTGCTAGCCGATGACAGACTTTTGTGTGGCGGGGTGCGAAGTATGCGGAAAATGCGCGTTCCCGCTACGTACCGCCCATCGATGACAGACTTTTGTGTGCCGGGTGCGGAGTTGGTTGTAGTTGTGGGAAAATACGCATTACTTCTTGGTGCATACAGCGCCTAATTTTCTGGTCGGTGACAGGCGTTTGTTCGGGGATGGGGAGTTGTTTGTGGACGAAGGCGTTTTTCGTTTCCTCTCGGCCCGCGGCGTACCGAGCCATGTTGGCCAGCCTGCATCGTGTATTTATCCTTTGCTCTGCCGCGAGATGGCTCCCCTTTCGAGAATGATGTGTACTTGCAAATGAAACATGAGAGATAGCTGGAGGTTCAGTGAGCACCGTGTTGGCATTTGGCACGCGGTGAAAATGATATACTTTGTAGCTTGCAACACCACGGCGGGCTCGACAGGAGGAACGGCGCTTTTGATGGCGACACGAAACTCCTCTTTGCAGCCTTGAGCCACGGTGGAAGGTTGCCATGTTGTTGCGGGTTTAACGTTTGGGTGGCGTTTGGTGTGCAGGTTTTGGCGCAACAATGGAGTACATCTGTTGTTCTGCGTCCTGAAGCACCACATGCGCGTGGATGCAACGGTTTAGTGTGCGCCCCAGAGGGCAAAGAGAACGCACGTCAAAATGAGTTCTGGTTCACATCCCATCCGTTTTTTGTCGAAAAGCTGAGACATGCGGCAACTCGCACGTTCATGTGCCAACACACAACATAAAATTTTCTTCTTGACGGCTGCGAGCACCACACCACATTCCGAGACCGTCATCAACCGACGGTCTTGGCAGTCACAGCGTCCATGGAAAATGGCTCGGGGTGCGTCCTCAGTCACATTTAATCCGTCCGTCTCTTTCGCCATAACTGATTCAATTCGTCCGTTGCAGGGTGTGCTCAGGAACTCCGCATTCGGCACGAACTCCAACACAGGAAGCCTCGCCCCCCTTCGATGACCTCTACCTCCGCTCGAGGATAAACACTGCCAGTTTCAAGAGCACCACACCCAGCCCACATCAGAATGTGCACCACACACACACCACCTCCACCTAATTTCTCTCTGCAAACATTTCCGCACAAAACCCGCCTCCTCCGCCCCCCCCCCCCCCCCCCCAAACAAAAACCCAAATCCCCCGGGCGGCCCACCCCCCTGGGGCCCCCCCTGCCCAAATAACCAGGGGCCTCAAAAAATGTTTTGCTCCCGGGTCAAAAACCAACCCCAATAAACCCGGCCCCAGGGGGCAGGACCTCCCCGGGGGGGGTCCCCCCCCCCGGGGGGTGGGCGCGGCCCCCGTTTCAACGCCCCGGCCGCGCGGAAAACCCAAAGTTTTTCAGCGCCCCTTACGGGGACGGGATCCTCCCCCCCCCCCCCCTTTTGCAACAAGT